TGGTCTTGGCATATCCCCTGCTCTGCAACTCCTCCTTAGAAGGGGTAATTCAAAGCCAGATAAAGGAGAGAGTCGGTCAGTTCCACAAAGTCATTCAATAGAGTTACTTACAAAAAGTCAGTCAAAAATAATTAGTCACAAATCAGTTATTCATTACAGTCAGTTACGTTTTAGTCACGTTTTTAGTCACAAATACGATGCCGAGTGCAGCAGGATGGAGTCCTACATTTCCAAGGTGAATTATGAAAGAACGGTACAAAATACCAAAAAAACGTTTTATTTTCTGAAAGCACATATAATGCAGTTTTTTTTTGGGCTAGGTTTTCAAAATAATATCGTCCAAATGATGGCCTTGACGGACGATGCACATATGCAGTCGTTCCTAGAAGTTTCCGATTATTCGCTTCAGCATATCTTGAGGACTTCCGGCGATTTCCTCTTTAATGGCTTTGAGATCTTCTAGTGTTAGAGCACGATGCTTATAAAAACTCAGGCTTCAGATACGCCCCCAGGAAAAAGTCGCAGGGACTCAGATCTGGTGAGCGAGCGAGCCATGTAACATCTCCTCCTAAAGAGATCAGATGACCGGGGAACGTCTCTTACAAAATAGCTGAGAACGACGGGCTGTATGAGCTGTGGCTCCATCCTGTTGAAACCAGAAGTTATTTGGATCTTGTTCTTCTTCATATTCTTTCATTGTGGGGCGTAAAAAGTTCTCCAATATGTTACAATATCTTATTTTTATTATTATTATTTTTATTATTGGCCTTAATTCTGTGTTTGGCCTATGTGCCTTACAAATTAGGTAGCTTAAGGTTAAATTAACAGTATATATAATATGATCTCACGATGCGGAGATTAAGTTGTAGCGGATAGATAAAAAGATAGATAAAAAGAGGATAGGAAAAGAGTATTACTATAGAGGAACTTGTATAAATAGCTTGAAGGCTTATGACTAAATTGTATTTCTCTTGTGGCGCTTATATTTTGATGTTGTCGATTTTTATGAAACTATGATTTTGAGCAGCTTGATGTCAGGTTCGACTAGAAGTTGCTTGATAGTGATTGGAGGTTTGATGTTACGTTTTTTTAAAAAGAGAGAATATTTTTCCCCTGTTTTTGGAGTAATCGGGCATGCCCAAATTATATGGTCAAAGTCTTGCATTTTGTGACTACAATTACAGGAGGCATCTTGGATTAGGTCAAATCTGACGAGGCAAGGCTGTAATGCTCTGCTCTCGTTTTGTTGATCTTTACTGTCCTTGATCCACATGTGCCTTGTGATATTTTTGTCATGAAACCAGGATGTAATCTGTTGTAGTAGTGTTGAAATTAGTTTACTCCAGATTTGATAGCTTGTGTTTTCCATCTTTTTTCTGTTAGGGCTTGGATTTTCCGTTTTATTACCTGAATGCGGTGTACGGTACTCGCGAATGCTGGGGACTTGTGTGTGAAGACGCTTTCGTTGCTTCATTATCAGCTAATTCATTACTATAAATATCCACATGTGCAGGAACTCACATTATGGTGATGGAGTTTTCTGAAGTGTTCGCTCTGAAGTGTTGGATTCCTGTTTTAATGTTGGAGACGTATCTGTTAGAATTAGACTGGAGAGGAGCCGCTTTTAGATTTTGAACTAGACTGAGTGAGTCCGTACATATCAGATAGGATTTAGTAGGGTTTTTGTTTGCAAAGTCTACTGCTATTTCAACTGCGAGGCATTCAGCCGTGTAGACTTATGCTAGATTGACCAGGAAAGTAGTGAGGATGAGATTATATTGTGGTATTATGCATGCAGCTCCAACTGTCGGTCTGTTTGCAGATTTAGAGCCATCAGTAAATATTGTTATGTGTTCACTGTAGTAATTATTGACAATGCCTAGGAAAATGTTGTTTGCTGCTGAGTCTGGAATGGAGTCCAGATTAAAATTATCTATTATGTCTGGTTGTTCGGATTCCGTTGTAAAGTTACTAAGGTTGTAAGATTAGGAATTGATTCTATGTGAATTCTATGGAATGTATTCTTCAAGAATATGTAATGATTTAACTAAAGATCTGTCCTTGCTACATGCTGGTCTGTGAGTGTGATATTGCGTTTGGTATACATGACAAAAATCTTCTAGAATTTCAGGGGATGAGAACTATTTGCTCTATTGACTATTGACTCTTGCAAGATATTTAGCTCCTAGGAATGTAGAGAGGTCCATGATACTAGGAAGTTTGGATTGTACTCGGATTACATTAATTGGTGTGGTTCTCCTGTAGCCTAGGGCAAATTGCAATAGCTTCGTTTTGTATTCTTTCTAATTTGTGTCTATGAGATTTATTAGCTGGTTAACCCAGGTTACCACATGCTTCCATAATCTGTTTTGGCCCTTATAAGTGATTGTAGATAAGTGATTTGTAGATAATCAATAAGGTTTGCGGATCACAATCCCATCAGGTGCCTCTTAGAAATCTTATAATCTTATAAGAGATTTGTTACACTAGTGACATGGTCAGTCTGAATTTGAAAGTTGAGTCTATTGTCTATGTAAACTCCGAGGAATTTGACCACTGGTTTACTTTGAATGGCAATATTGTCTATTTGAATGGATATGCTGGCTGGCGTACAGGGAGAGTTCCCAAACCAAAGCACTTCAGTCTTTTCAGTAGCTAGTTCGAGACCAATTCCCTGAAGATTATTTTGAATGGTTTTGATTGCTCTGGTAAGTATGCTTTTGACATATTCTGGGTCATTATTCTAAGCTATGATTACAATGTCATCAGCCTATTGCGTAATTAGGACCTCACTAGGTAAATTGTCCATAATACTATGTACATAGAGATTAAAAAGGAGGGGGCCACGCACCCGCTTCCTGTGGAAGGTTCTTATAAATGTTCTAGTTCTGATGGGTTTTCTCTAGGATGCTGCTGCCTATAAACTGATCTCGTCTTTCATACATCATGTTGGAGACGAAGTGGGTGATTTTGCCTGTTATTCCAAGTTGGAGGAATTTCTGAGTAAGAATTTGTCTTTGAACATTGTCAAACTCACTGTTGAAGTCCAAGAATGCAGCAGCAGTATATTTGTTGGTTAGATACCCTAGGTCAGTTGTTGTGACCGGCGTCCTTATGTTACCTGCGCATGAGCGTCCTTTTTTGGAACCTGATTGATAGTGAGAGAGAATTCCATTGTATTCAACCATCATAGAAGTCTGTTGTTTTGGAGCCTTTCCATTAACTTGCCCATACAGGAAAATAATGTGATTGGCCTCAGAGCATGATCTGTGTGTTTAGGTATTAGGAGTATGTGAACTTTTTTCCAGGCTTCCGGTATATTTTGTGTCTGATAAAGATCGTTGAAGATGTCAAATAGGAGTAATTTGCATTTGTCAGATAGAGATTTAATCATTTTGTAGTCTATCCTGTCTGGACCTGGTGCTGAAGTGAGTTTATATCTTTCTAGAGCTACATTGAATTCTATACAGTTAAAAGGCTGGTTCAGAAATGGGTGTCGGTGATCGTTTTCTGTTCGGCCCTCTGAGCTGGAGGGTCCAGGACCCATGGAGGACAGGTTTTTTTGACTGCGATTTGTTCGTAGATAACCTGCTGGGAGTTGTCACTGACATCTTTTTTTGTATTAGCCCATTTGCATTTGAAACCTTTGATCTTATTCCAGACCTGCTCGGATTTGTGGTTTAACTTACTAGCAAAATTCCTAAAAGCTGCCCTCTTTCTTTCCCAAGTAGTTTTCTAACTGCTGTTGCCTGTTTGGTGTACCTTGTCCAGTCTTCCATATTATAGGTGTGTAGCCATTTTTTGAGGGAGGCCTTCCGGCGTCTTACTGCCTGATTACACTTGTTGTCCCACCAGCCAACTGGATTGCTTTTATGTGTTTTTTACCGGCTTTTTGGGTGTGTTTGAGATTGTAGATTCTTTCATTTTATTTACGAAAAGATTATATTCGTCTATTGGAGT